GACAGCAGGTTAGTTCTCTTGTCTAATTCACTGTTACCTGTTCGGATTTTAGTTGTGTGTGTGACCAATGTTTTTGTCTCTTAATAGAGAATTTTCGTGCTCTCAGCACTGGGGAGAAAGGATTTGGTTACAAAGGTTCCTGCTTTCACAGGATTATCCCGGGATTTATGTGCCAGGTATGAAATTCATGGACTCTGGTTTGGGTGATGGTCATTGAGCTTGAGCTAGAGCTAGAGCTAGAGCTAGGAGAATGCAGCATGAGTGCATGGGAGCTGTTTTCTGCCAGTCTGGTCCGGCTTCACCTTCTAGTCCATTTAAACTTGAGTTTGAAGCTAGGTCTCTGCAGACTTGGCTTGTTTTCTGATGCTGTTGCCAGAAGTGACAGGTTTTGCTCACTCCACAGGGTGGTGACTTCACACGCCATAATGGCACTGGAGGCAAGTCCATCTACGGGGAGAAGTTTGACGACGAGAATTTCATCCTGAAGCACACAGGTCCTGGCATCCTGTCCATGGCGAACGCCGGACCCAACACGAACGGTTCCCAATTTTTCATCTGCACCGCCAAGACCGAGTGGTAAGGGCAGATCCCTGCAGCAAGGAGCGCTGCCCGCTTCAGCCTGGCCTTGTTTCTAGCGTGGGAGGATGTGAGAAAGCCGAAACGGGGGTCCGTGGAGAAAGCAAGATACAGAGCATAGCACAATGGGGCGCTGAGCTGAGTAGTTAAGACCAGTACTTGTGGGGTGCCCACCGGCTCGGTCTGCAGAGCATGCACCCCTTTGTGTCCAGGTTGGGGGGTGGAGGTAATTAACAACAATAGACTTAAAATGCAAGTGAACACAAACTACACAAGAGTAGTACTTAGGTCTCCTTGGCCTGTGGGTGTTGGCCCTTTTTTAGGGGTCCATTGTAAATTCGGGAGTTCTGACAGGAGTTGGAGAATCTTCTGACTCCTGGTGACCTATAGTCTTGCCGTTTCTGTTAGAAGGATGAGGTGTTCAGTGTTGATCCACATTAACTGGTACTGACAACTGTGTAACCCGGCCTCCAGCTGTTCTTCCGGGGGTGCAGTACTGCTCTGTGGGTCTCTGTTCTCGGGGTGCGGCGCAGGCTCAGTGGCCCCTGGGCACCAGTGCTGACGCTCAATCTCGTTTCCAGGTTGGATGGCAAGCACGTGGTGTTTGGCATGGTGAAGGAAGGCATGAACATCGTGCAAGCCATGGAGCGCTTTGGGTCCCGGAACGGCAAGACCAGCAAGAAAATCACCATTGCTGACTGTGGACAAATCTAATAAATTTGACTCGTGTTTTATCTTAACTACCAGACCATTCCTTCTGTAGCTCGGGAGAGCGCCCTTCTGCCCCCATCTGCTCGAAATCTAGAGTCCCTGTGTTCCTGCTGCAGTTCCACGGGTCCTGTGTCCTCCTTACTCCCCTCCAAGTTTAGCTGGATTGCAGAGTGAAGTTTATGATCATGAAATAAAAGCTAAACAACACTTGTCTGTCCTTGTGTGGCGCGGGGGTCCTGCAGCTCGCATTTTTGGCAACACTGCAGTTTGCTGGATTCCACAGCTGCCATTTCTGCTTCCCTGGCCCAAAGGTCCTGGGGTGGGGGGGTGTTGAAGATGTGGGTGGGGGCAAGGAAGGAAAGAGCCAGGATTTTGGGAGGGAGGTGGTGACCACGGGCAGGCGGGACAGGTGCTCCTTTAAGGGGAGCAGGGACAAATTTGCACTTGGCACGTGGACTGGCACCACAGTAAGTGGAGAATCCCTCTAACACTGGAGAATGTGTGCCACTCGCTCTTCTAAGACCCCATTATTTCTTGGTTTTGATGAAGTTTGAAAAGGGTGTTAGGAGATGCTAATTGTGCTGTTTATCAGCAGGGAAAACAGTGTTGGGCCTCAGGCTCTGGGGAAGGGTCTTCGGATCCGGTTTAGTCTGGGGTATAGAATCGGGGCAAAAAGTGTGCAGTAAAGTCCAATTCTGGAATTGTTGACAGAGTCTGGTAGACCCTGGCCTGTGGGGGTGCCTGGTACTGTGACCCACGGTCCTTGCTCTCCCCGAACAGTGATCCCCTCCTGGCCCCCTCAAGGTCACACAGTCACTCAGTCACACAGATCTAACGGTCACAAGCTGTAAGATTTGGCAAAGGAGAGGCCCTTCCCCCTTTAACTGGGCTGCAAACTGGTGACCAGAGCTAGTTGCACAGGCTGAGGGGCACCTGTCTGCCTAGAGCCCGGGACACCCTCCTCTCCCTGCAGGGCCCCTCCCCACCGGGGCTCTTGACCCAGAGCCATTTCTGTCCTGATGGTGTGAGAATGTTTGCAATTTGTAATTTGTCGGGCTGCTGGCTGCTTCCTTCACCAAATGCTTGTGCCTCTGGGTGTGTCCCGTTTCCCCTGCTCCCTGGGTGACTGCAGTGACCTTTAATGTCCATGGATGGCTTGTGTCCAGGTGGTGATAGGCTTTCATCAACCCAACCTCACTTAGAGTTGTCCTCGAGCACGCGATCACACCTGCCTAGTCACTGTGTGTATTCCGCCGCCGAGTGTCTGACACCGATGCGCCGCGCTGGGTACTGGAAAAAAAGGTAACCAAAGTAGAGTGGTGCCCGACTTAGCTTTCCAAGGGGCAGGCAGGCCAGCTGCCAAGAGTTGGTAACGTGGTGTTAGCATGTGTAATGAGACCTCATCGGTCCCGAGTGGCTTTCCTGGAGAGTTTACCAAGCGAGGGAAAGAAAGGCCCAAGCCAAGAACTTGCCAAGTGCAAAGGCCGCGCTTCCCCTACTCTGTGCATCGGTTTCCGGCTGTTTCAGGCTGTCGCCAGGCAGGAGAGAGCCGCCAGGCGGGAGAGAGCCGGAGAGAGCCATCAGGCGACCTTCGCACTGTCACTTCTATTATTAACATAACTATGGAGGGGCACCTGGGTGGCTCAGATAAGCATCCAACTCTTGATCTTGGCTCAGGTCATGATCTCACTGTTCCTGAGGTCGAGCCCCATGTGGAGCTCTGTGCTGGCAGCATGGAGCCTGCTTGGCATTCTGTTTCTGTCTCTCTCTGCCCCTCCCCTGCTCTCAGGAGCATGCATGCACCCACTCTTTTTCAATAAGTAAACATTAAAAAAATAATTGTATGGAGATTATAATTATACACCATAAATGTACTTTTTTTTTTTTTTTTTTAACTCTTTAGGGACACCTGGGCGGCTCAGTAAGTTGAACGTTTGACTTCGCCTCAGGTCATGATCTTGTGGTTCATGGGTTCAAGCCCAGCATTGGGCTCGCTGCTGTCAGCACAGAGCCTGCTTTGGATCCTGTGTCCCCCTCTCTCTGCCCCTCCCCTTCTTGTGCTCTCTCAAAAATAAATACTAAAAATATGTAAGATCTTTGGCCTCCACTTTTTTCTATGTCATTGGCTCCTCAAGTGGTTCAGGACGTTGACTTCAAGGAACGTGCTTGATTCTGGAGCTGCCCACTGCCACCCGTTCCTGTCCCCTGCTTGTTTAGCTCCTGGATTCTCTGTAAACTGGAAGCTAGGCCGAGAATCTCAATTTAGACACAAGCTCCACGTTTGTAGCAGGAAGACTTTGTGGGTGACTGTGTATGCAATCCTGCCTCCTGGGGGGTGCACGCGACCTCAGGCCGACTCACCAGACAGCCCCCTGGGAGGCACTTTGTCCTCTTCCCAGTGAGGAGGCAATCTGTGGGCGATACTTTGCCTCGGTCTGAACCCCGTTCCCAGACCTTTCGCCTGATGGCTCTGCCTTCGCACCCGTGAACGATCTTTGCCTCGATCAATGATTATTCTGTAGTTGTAAAAACAATTTCAAATCTCTCCCTCTTCCAGTTACTAAGGGCTCACGAATTTTTACTGAACCTGTTACAAACAATACAATTTTTGACACTCAAACCACCCCCCGTCTGACCAGCAGGAGCCCCTCTGAGCTGCCCTGTGTTGCTTGGACCTGGTGGTCCCAGGGGTCTGTGAGCCCTTCCTTGTGAGCTGCAGTTATAAGAGGGTCTGGGGACAGCAGAGGTCGACACGTCCATGCAATTGGCCACCTAACTCGGGGGGAACAGTCTTCGTTTTCACAACCGTACAGTTCACCTGTGAGCTCCCAGCTTGTACTCGTTTAACTATTAACTATTTGACTTGGCGCATGTCACATGCAGGCACTTGAGGACACCTGTGTCTGCATGTATATTTTTGCTGCCTGAGACCCAACCTTGTTTCGTGTCCTCCCCTCCTCCTCCCTGTTCTCTGACTGGATTGTTTCGAAGCAAATTCCAGACGTATCATAGGCACAAATATTCTAGTAGTTTGTCTCTAAAAGATACGAATTTGCATTTTTAACATAACCAAAATACCACCATTTGCATCTAAAATAATGATTCCTGGGCGCCTGGGTAGTACAGTCGGTTGAGCATCCAACTCTTGATTTTGGCTCAGGTCATGATCCCAGGGTTTATGAGATCGAGCCCTGTGTCTGGCTCTACATCGACAGCTCAGACCCTGCTTCATGCCCCCCCACATCTCCCCCACTCACGTTCTCTCTCTCTCTCTCTCAATAGATAAAGAGCATAAAACATCAGGCAAATAAGGGCCATTGATGAATACTTATGTGATAAAATATGGTGTGATAAAATAATTATGTGATAAATATGGTAAAATATTTTTTTTAATTTATTTATTTGGAGAGACAAAAAGTGTGAGCAGGAGAGAGGCAAGAGAGAGAATCCTAAGCAGGCTCTGTGATGTCAGCTCAGCACCTGGAGCCTGCTTCAGATTCTGTCTCCTCTGCCCCTCCCCTGCTCCCAAGGGCACGTGCGCGCACACACACTCTTTCTCTCTCAAAAAAAAAAAAAAAAAAAAAAAAAAAAAAAAAAAAAAAAGTTTTCTGTTGGAGACACCTGTTAAGGCACCACAGAGGGAACACAAAGTCTGGGAGGGGACGGACTTCAACACAGGCCCAGGCCCGTGAGCAGGGTCGGGGACAGGTACATGCAGGGCAACAAGGACCACCCGTGGGGGTGGAGGGCGGGGCCCAGCTGTTTGACTTCCTCTCCATTAGAAAACAAAACAAGGGGCACCTGGGTGGCCAGCTCAGGTCATGATCTTCGGGCTTGTGAGTTTGAGCCCACGTTGGGCTCTGTGCTGACAGCGCGGAGCCTGCTTAGAATTCTCCCTCTCTCTGTCCCTTCCCTACTCTCTCTCAAAATAATCTTTAAAAAAAAAATTCCTCTTTAAAAAACTGAAAACAATTCTAGGAACACCACAAGCAACTGCCAAAGGGAGGCCGGTATCTGAAGCAATTACCTAGAAAACTCTAGTAAAAGTCACTCTTCTCTATTTTGCCTTCTTTGCTATTGTTACTTTGGCTTCCGGAAACTACTAAAATTTCACAGGATAATCGCGGGCCCACTCAACACAGAAACCTCAAAATACGTGCTAACTGAATCCAAAATTGAAATGTTCTTTCTTATTCCTGCCTTGTAAATCAAAGAGCAGTTCGGCAGGAATTCTGGATGCATAAGGATGGCAAGCATGTCCCCCATTGGCGCCCCCCGTGGAATGCTGGGACAGGCCCCTTCCAGGAGAGTGGCTGGCACAGCCCAACCGGCAGTTTTCACATGGCAGGTGCCAGGTGCCCCCCGACGAGGTACCGCAGGGAGTACAGTGTCACCTGGGAATTATTTTTGTGAAAAAGCAAAACGCAACAAAAGCCAACCCTTCAAGATCTGTCGGCTTACGGGAAATTTAGGGGAAAGACATCTCAAATACCAGCAGGATGCATTCAGTAAAACTGAGAAAATTCCACAAACAACCCCATTTCTTTAAAAATTGTAAGGAAAAGGGAGGAGAAACCCATGGATTAAAAAGAAACAAGGTGGGGGGAGGCGCCTGCAGGACTCGGTTGAGCGTCCGACTTCGGCTCAGGTCATGATCTCGCAGTTTGTGGGTTCGAGCCCCGCATTGGGCTCTGCACTGACAGCTCGGAGCCTGGAGCCTGCTTCGGATTCTGTGTCTCCCTCTCTCTCTGCCCTCCCCCGCTCATGCTCTGTCTCTGTCTCAAAAATGAATATAAACATTTAAAAAATTAAAAAAAAAAATAGAAAAGAAACAAGAGGGATCAACAAAATCTAGGATATAGAACAAGCTAGGGCACCTGGCCGGCTCAGTCGTAGAGCATGCAACTCGTTCTTGGGGTTGTGAGTTCGAGCCCCATGCTGGCTGCAGAGATTAAACAAACTTAAAGAAAAAAAAAGGGGCACCCGGGTGGCTCACTTGGTTCAGTGTCCAACTTTGGCTCAGGTCACGATCTCACAGTTTGTGAGTTCGAGCCCCATGTTGGCTCTGTGCTGCTGACAGCTTGGAGCCTGTTTCGGATCCTGTCTCCCTCTCTCAAAGACAAAAAAAAGATCCAGAACACGTCTGGATCTTGATTCAAACCAACCATAAACAAATTGATAGGAAAGTGTGAATACTAAATAGGTCAGATACTATAAAATGCTGTCAGGGCACCTGGGTGGCTCAGTTGGTTAAGTGTCTGACTTCAGCTCAGGTCGTGATCTCACAGTTTGTAAGTTTGCGCCCCACATCAGGCTCTTCACGGACAGCTTGTAACCTGCTTGGGTTCTATCTCCCTCTTTCTCTGTGTCCCTCCCCCGCCAAATAAAGTTTAAAAAAAATCTTAAAAAATAAAACATTAAATGCTGTTTTAAGATTGCGATTATGCCCCATCTTTAGAGACTCACACTTAAGTATAGATATAAGGCAGGAAGTCATGCCTGAAACAGGATTCAAACCAACCCACCAGGGAGCCGACAGGTGAAACAACACTGACCGCAGGAGGGTTGTTGGAAGGTGGAGGGTAAGTACACGGGGGTTCATTATACTCTTCTCTTTATTGTTCTGTATTTTTGAAAATTTCCATAATAAAATAAGTTTTTTTAAAATGAGAGCTTTGTTTTGATAGAGCTAGATTATAAAACATTGAAAGATCTTTTTTTAATGAAGACTTCCAAGCGGAAAAAGAGAGTTTGTGACGGACTATTGGTACATTAAACCTTACAAGTTACTTAAAAGCTGACAAAGTAAAATATTTTTTTAAATAGGGCACCAACTGCTGGATGTTACTATGTCAACAGAAGACCACTAAAAGCTGGAGGTTTAAGTAAAAGCAGAAAACTTATAGACTGAACTTTGATCCAGGTAAGAGTGTGGGCTCCAGAGTTCGCCGAATCGAGGCCTGTCTCCCAGCCCTGCGAGTCCTACCTACTAGATAAATGTCTTCCAGCAAGTAACTTCTGGGCACCTCGGTTTCTGCATCTTTAAAAGCGGGGGGGAGGAAAGTCTGATCACTAAGGCACTCAGTTCAGGGCCTGCCATGGTAAGTGCTCAGTGGACGAGTCCACTACCCTAGGTCATCAATCCTAAACACATGCGTTTTCCTATTCCGGCATCTCTGGATCGGGGAGCGTCCCACAGCTGATGGCGCCCCACGGTTTACTTGGCCGTTTTTCCTTCTTTTGGGGTATGTAACACGACGGTTTGTACCGCAAGTGGATGGCACCTACTATATGGTAGCACACGGTGATATGGTATCAATCCTGGTAAATCTAGATTCCCAATTTGTTCTCAGATTATCCTGAATATAGAATAACCGATTTGAAATCTAAAAAATTTCAAAGTATGAGCAAAATACTTCCAACACGTCACGAACAGAACAGTTTTGAGACCAATTCTTTTTGTAAAAAATGGTTTATCAATTCCGTTTTTGTATAAAACACAACGGGAGAAACCTAGCCAATCACCACACAAGCGCTGCTGCGTGGAAAGGTACTTTATCAAACTTTGAGCCTAAGAACGTACAAATGTCTCTTATGTGTCTACAGTAATTGTCTAAGCTTTTCCATCTGCCTCTTTTAAAAACCCCCCATGTCCCCATTATTTCTTCTGTCCCGGTTACAGTACAATGACGGGAGGAAGGGGCTGGTTAAAACAATGCTCTACGCGGTTTTCTGCTGTCCCTTCTTTCCGATCAGAGACTTGTGGATGTGCGGGATCACACCTGGAAGGGAACGGAAACATATGAACGACTCTCCATGGGCGCTCTCTCCACTTCGGGGCCTCCCCGGAGAGCAACTCCCCAGACATGAAGTCTGCCGATGGCCCTCTTCACACACCCACCCATGCCAAGGCCTCCCTCTCTTGAGGTCTGGGAACCCCCCTAAAACTACATAAAACACCGCTTTTATGGACTTTGGGGAAGAGGAAGCATAGCTTTCAAGAGCTTCTCCGAAGGTGACCCGGAAGGGATCCAGGTGTTCATCTCACCTTCACTGACCCTGACTCACTCAATCACCTCAGCCCTGACTTTCAAGGGCATCACACAGAGCAGGTTCTCAGGATCATCTTTAAGACACCGCTACAAGGGTATGGGAAATATTTAAAACCCCAGGTTTTGAGAATCATTTATGAGATTTAGACAAGGAATGTGCCAAACTAAAGCAGTGCTGTATCTGGCCATAGCATTTATTGGGATCAGAATATAAATGAGCCTTTACTGTAACGTAACAGACTCAACACTCCTGGAGTCCTGGAATCCTGGAGTCGAGGTCTGTATGAGTTCTAGGGTCACTGATCGAATGATGTCAGAATGGCCAACAGCCACGTGGGCGGGCGTGGGGATCCTACGTACCACCCCCGGCGATGGTTGCCTTGATGAGGGAGTCCAACTCTTCATCGCCGCGGATTGCGAGCTGCAGGTGGCGCGGGGTGATCCGCTTTACCTTGAGGTCCTTGGAGGCGTTACCCGCCAGCTCCAGCACCTGCAAAGCACCGTGAGACGGTGCATCAGAGGCTCAAGCGCGTGAGGCTCAGCGCAGCCCTGCAGTTATAGCTACACAGACCTGTACGGTATCTGCACAGAAGACACGCAATGCATATGAGCCGGTAATGCGGGTTTCTTTTTCACATTTCTGATGCTTTCATAGGAATCTTGTTACTTCGCTAGGGTCTCATATTCATTTTCTGCAGGAGAGCTAGACCCCTGAGCAAGAACCCACTTCTCCAGAAAGAAGGGCAAGGGATAACACTATTTCCCTAGCCAAGATTCCAAATGCGAACATCGAGGAAAATCGTGATTTCAGTATGGCCCCGTAGTCTATTTTTGTCCAGCCCTTAATGGACGGAACTTATTTCTTAGTACTTGTAGAAAAGTTTAAAAAATAATTTCTTATTCAGAGTTTTTAACATCACTGGGTCCTCTAATCTAGAGGCAATATACTAGAAGCCCTTTATTCTAGAATGGGAATTTTCAACTAAAACAATTCCAAAGTCCCAGCTGGCCATAAAAACTGCATTTCTAATTTGTTTTGTTTTGCCTCTACAGACTGTACTGGCATTATAAAACCTTTGATGGAAGTCCTACAAAAAAAAAACTCCACAGAGCCTCGCTTGAACAGAGCGGTGGGAAGTCCCCGTGTATGTCAGAAGCAGCGGGGACCCCTGCTTCTTCCTCCCAAGACTCTGACCCATCTGGGCACCAGTATCTTTTGGAAGCTCCAAGTGACCCTAGTGTGAAGCTACTGACTTTAGATTTCAGTATTTTCTTTGCATCCTACTATGACTAACACCCCAAACACAAATACCTGAAAATATGTTGACTGCTTACATAAATGCTCATGGTCTAATCTTAACCTAAAAACTTGTACTCAAAGTTCCCGGGAATAAAGAAAATGGGAGTCTGGATGAGACCTGGAACATTCTGAGTCAGAAGAATATGCCTCCACGTGATGAATGAAACGTGTACCTTCCTGAAAAGTCTGCCGCTCACCAAACACAAACTGGTGTAAGGCTGAAGGAGAAGGTGGGGTGGGGGGAGGCCCCGTGTCCCTGTCTCAGGACCTAACACCGTAGAAACCGCCTGGAGTGCAGGGACCAGATGAAGTTAATGAGATGACGGCATTAACAATTCACACACACCCCAAACTCCCACCTTTCAGTCCGGGTCCCCACCACACGATCGTGGGGAAGAACTTCCCTCTGTTTCTAACCGCCTGACCTGCTTGCTACTCATCCTGCCCTGACTGGGGCGGATAGTGCAGGGATGGGGGGTGGTCGCAGTCTTCAGGGGGTTCTCCTTACAAGGGGCTGGTCCATCACCCAGGTGTTAAGAATTTCACCCAATCAGCCCATCTTCCTGCAATGTCACACTGGCCAAGACTACGCAGTCTTGGCAGGCAGTCTACGCAGGCAACCACGCAGAGAAGAGGGTTCGTCTGCTCTTCCACCAGATTCCACCATCAGAATGGATGTGTAATGTACATCACCCTGGCAAACTCTGCCCCCCCCCACCCCATCTTCACGAAGAGATCATGATTTCAGTTCACAAACCTCCTGCTGAGGGTTCGTTTCCTTAGTAGCGGAGTACCGCAGGCACCTGACACCCATCACCTCCCGCAGACGTGGGGCTACGGACCCTGCCTTAACTCAGCATGAGCGCATCAAGGTCCTTCCCACACGGGCTGGGTGCCACCGGGCTGGGTGCCGAGGAGGCGCCCCCTCCCCCGTGGGCTCTGCCACTCCACACCCGGCGCACCTGCCGGGACCGCGCACGACTGACCTCGGCCGTGAGGTACTCCAGGATCGCGGCGCTGTACACCGCGGCCGTGGCGCCGACCCTCCCGTGGCTTGTGGTGCGGGTCTTCAAGTGTCTGTGGATGCGGCCCACGGGAAACTGAAAGACAGAGCATCCAGGTGGGAGGCACCGCGGCCTTACCAGCGCGCTACCGAGCGAGACCAAAG